CGGAGATAGCGACAATGTGTCCGGACCCGCCAATACTAGATCAGGAAGTTTGATTCCATCAAGTTTCCGGTGGGAACTGGGGGGAGGCGCCCAAACGAAAGACAGGAGCGGAAGGGCAAATAAGACCGCGGCAATGCTGGAACAAGTGCCAAGATGGCGGATGATGGCGCAAAGTCAGCTTTGCAAGCGCCTGACTAGGCCACTTGATGTCTCAGGTTTCGATGGCGGAGAAAGCGGAAGCGAATGAGTCGGAAAGTGAAGGAAAGGAGAGGCAGGGGAAGAGAGGAGATATAGATAGAGCGAGTGAGGCGACAGAGAGGGAAATAAAATGAGGGAGAAAAAGGGCAAAGCTGGACAGAAGGAAGCATAGAGGATCAGTGAGAGGAAGCACAAGCCGACGAGCGTTGAAGGACGATCAACTTACTTACCCAGCCTAAGGCGTGGGTCTTGAATGTTGTGAGTGTAACAAGTGTTACCGGACTTATAGTAGGGTCGGCTTGTTGTTTTCTCTTTCCTCCATTGAGGTAGATTTGACGGAGAGTGGATCTGGGGAGTTATTTGTTGTTATTTGTTTGTTAACATTCCGAATGGAGAGACTGTAAGTAAGAAGTAGATGTCACATAGAATAGAATATTCTCGTAGTAACGAACAGTGTATAGCAAGTGACGGGGAGAGAGAAAAGAAGTGAAGACAAAGCCGCAGATACCCATCCGTCATGCTGGATGGACCTGCGGGTCAATACTGGGTAAGTTATGGTGTGTGTTGTGTGTTACGGTACCGCAAAAGTGGTTCTGGCCCGGCTTGTCTGCCTGGCGGCTGGCGTCATCGCATGTGGCTACAAATCGAACTTGAAACTAATGTGCCTCCTTTAGACTAAAGATGGTCCCAGACGGACGGGCCACCAGTCTCGCATTTCCTTTTTGCTGCCCTTTTCTTTTCTTCTTCTATTTTTTCTTTTTTTAAACTCCGATCCCCTGCCCCTGCTGCTTGAATCCCCCCCAAAAGTCATTCCAATGAGATCGGCATGGATCATAAGAACTAACTGCAGGTCAACTAACGAAGTACGGGGTAATACCCGGGATATTAGTTGTTGCCTGGCTTGCTGCAAGAGATGAAATTGACAATAAATGGGTCGCTAGTAGATAGGACAGGCGAACCGAATTCGCTAGTAATCAAAGAGAAACAGTCCTAATAAAATGACACTATAGTAATATACATAATAAAAAAAAATAATAAAAATAAATAACAGTCATCAGAAAAGAAGTACTAAACTAAGTAATGGACACCTATGTGGTATTAATGAGTAAAGTATTTACTGTCATTCCCCCCGTGGACAAGCCCCAACCGGGTCAGTCAGTCAGCCATCCGAGCAACCCATGGATGGCCGGGTGGATTATCCAGTCTATCCCACTAAAAAAGCACGCCCCCCGCGTAACTGACTCTAGCACTGCCTCCAATCAGCTCATGCCGTGAATCAAAATAAGAAGTCAGTCCTATGGTTGCATCCCACCATCTCGCCAAAATTAGAAACGCAGTCCTGCATGTCTTAATTGCGACTGCCACTTCCCAGCCAATTCCACCGGTCATCCTTTGTTTTTGCCTCTGCTCATCAATCCATGTTTCTCACCCACGAGGTGAGGAGAGGAGACAACGTATCACGCCAAGTGCAGCCTAACCAGTCATCGTAACCGCTGGTCTCTTATCTAGCAGTCAGAAGAAAACTTAGACTGACCCTCGTAATGCGAAGTACTAGACTAGATGTATCATGGTACGATTGGATGGAAGAATGGAGGTGGATGGAGAAAGGAAAGGCGTCGTCGTGTCCCTTGTCCCTTATGGACGGAAGAATGCAAGGCGACAGTCAGAAAGAGGAATGGTCCGGGAGTCAATAATCCACTGGCGCACTGCCACAGGCCCGCCGTGCCACACGGCATCAGATGATCTTGGCGGGTAGCTTCACTGAATACTAGACTGCTACTTGCATCTTTTAGCAACTAATAGATAGTTCGCTGTGCTCCTTGTTTCCCAACTTGACTTCTCTCACCACTATAAATAACCGGAATACCATAAATGTCCATTATTCACCCGAAATGATCGGACTGGATCTCCAGTTTCAGCTCGGCCCAAGCCCATCGAGACAGGAATAGTTCCGAAAGCCTATACCCCTGCTAAGGTCCGAGGCTAAGAATAAGAACCTGTTTAGTTCGAATCTAAAATTATAAGCGGCTGGGGTTGCTGCGTTGGTACGTATCGTTAGTCGTTTGTCGGTAACCTGCTATCCGAGCAAAGTAATCAATTAGCAAGGGTCCTTCTCTCTGTGTCTTAGTTAGTGCGATGCTGGGGACACTGCAGAGCAGCTATCCGCAATTCTAGCCTCACCTAAAGTGGCTGCGGCATTTGCTCTTATCAGACTGGGTTGAACAGAGAGCATCAACTTTATTCATGATGCTGCAGGTTATGTAACCTTAACTCAGGCGGTAAATCAGGATGTGCCCCGTTTATAAGACGCCTACTATTGCTCAGCATCCTCTCCCCTCGACCAAAGCCACCGATGATTCGTTGTTAACTGTGGCTGGTCAGCATAACAAGCGATCAAATCACATCTTTTTCTAGAAGCACGTACTTTCATACTTTGAGATGTTCGACAGGGTGTACGCACTCCGTAGTGCAAACCCCAGCCCGCGACCCACCGGCCAGGGTGTTTCCCCTCTTAGTCTGCTAAGGCTGCGGAGCTCTCCAAAGATGATCGCAGGCTTGACGCGCAAACTCCTAGCAGCGATCGTTGCTGGTTAAGAGATAATGTCGGCAGCATGACCTCAGCTGTAGGGTCCAGCGCGGGAAAGCTTCTCTTACCACGTAGGCATGTCCTGCGTTCGATAATTTTCTTGAAGATCCAACCAGTCTCCTCCGTCCTGTTTCTCCGCTTACGAATTTTACTCGCTTGATCGTCGCTCCCTTGAAGCATTTCATTGGGACACGATTGCAGGATCAGCCTTGCGGTTGTCATGATGCAATCAATCCTTGCTTGTGAGGTATGACAGCTTTTTTTTCCCCTTTCGCCTTACGGCAAGCTAAGACTCAGTACTTTTTGAGGAGGGGTGGTACAATCGACAGAGTAGGATATAATACTGGAAGAGAGATGACACTCAAGTCCTAAGCGATCTTCTGCCACATGAGTCTTGTTGTGTTTCACCTCTGATGGAGTCCCTCTCTGTCTCCACTTGCTTTAGCACACCCCCTACTTTGTGGAGTCAGCTGCAATTGAGTTTCGGCTTGAGGACAAGCTCAGTGATAGGTTTACCCTCGATGACCGTGTATCGCGTGTAGTCATCTTAACAAACTTCGGTTACTTTATATCAATATCATATCTACGAGCATACCTCTGAGGGCACACAGTACGAGCCCCACTCAGGGGGAGGGGCGCCTGTACCTGACCTTTCGCAGACATCAGACATCCTGCAGGGTCCCTCGACCTGGAATGAACGTCGGAACCCCAAACATTGATTATCAAACGGTGATATTGCTATGCTTCTCATACTGTCAAATATCCGTGCCTGCCAAGACCATAGCTGTCGGCTGTCATGTGCCTTGAAGTGTTCTCATGGGTCAAAGGGTCTTCTGACCTACGGCTTCGTAATATAACCCTGGCGACATGACATGTCTAGGCAAATGCATTTCCACATTTCTCAAATTCATCCCATTTTTACGTTGACTGGATGCAAATTTCATCGGTCTTCAAGTTTGACCCTCCCCGGTATCGGACGCATAAGGCTACATGAGCCTTCCGCAAAATGTAAATACCAGAAAAACACTTTGTTGTGTTTACCGAGCTAAACAAATCGATATTTTGCAAGCTAAAAATCGGAGGGGCTAGTCTGAGTACCTGATCACCCTAAGTGTTCTCCCGTATCTGCCATCTGGTCATCTGCCCATCATGTCTCATACCCCGGTGACTCGTGGGTATGGTTCAACTGTGCTGAATATGTCGTGAAGACTATCTTTGCTGTAACTTCATGTCACCTTAGGCATTAAATGCCACCGGGTCGTGGACTGAGATTGCAGTCAGCTTCGAATACTAGCGTCAGGTCCAATTTCGTGACTTGAAGATGTTGACTCTTCGATTTAGTTTGTCACTCTTCATGTTCATGTGGATTCGCACAAGCTTCCCTGCTCGAACCTAGTTGTGGATGCACTTACCAGGGATATCCCGTGATATGAAGGATACTCGGCACAAGTTGTAGGGTGTCATTCGTAAGTACACACTCCACTGACCGGCCGGGACGGTGAGGTTCGTGGGAGTCCATCGAAATCTTTCTCTAGCACTGTATGGCTGTCTGCAAATAATTTTGTTTCATCTGCAAAATTCCCAAGAGAAGGTATACCGGTCTGGTTTTCTAAGATGACACAGCTAAAAAGGAAGGAGAGGGGTTGAATATATCATGTCCTTCATGGTATTCTATGACTATAGCATTCCTGAATTTTGGTAAGCTGGCACTGATATTGACCAAATCAAAAGCAACCTTGTACATCATCTCAGATTGATGGCACTATTGGGGCTAAGTGATGGGCAGAATGTGTCTTTCCCTACCATTAATGCAAGTTTCTGGTTTTCACTGGGCCTTTCATTCACCACGCGTGCCAGAACTTGCTTCTACTCCCATTCACTCCCCTCTCGCTTACTCTGTGTTGGCTTGTATACTTCCTACTCAAACCTTCTTTCTCTTCTCTTGTGAATCCTTCTGAGACCAACTTTTGAGATTCCACAATCGCGTCTTCATCCCTCCCAGCATACCTGAGGTCTGTGAATACTTTCAGAAAGCACCCCCCCTTGGTCTGCGGGGTAGGTTGCCAGAGGATTGGAAAGTTCGCAGCACCTTCGACAATAACAGGTAGCCTCCTGGTGTGTTGTTCTGCCTTCTTTTTATAGTCTCTTCCAAGTTTAAATCTAACCAACGCAGAATATAAGGTCAAATCTGGTATGTCTTGATCGGACTGTCGCCATGGATATCACCTGTTCTTCTCCGTTTGTCTCTGCACCGATTCAGGAGATGGTCGGCGAGCCGATCGACATCGTACTTGATGAGCCCACCGATACCTGCGCGATGGTGGAAGAGAAAGCCGAGGAGATCATCGAGGCCGAGAATGAGAGCCTTGACCAACTGATGATAGAGTTTACCAGAGGGTTTGATCCTGGAAGCTTTGTGGATGAGGTCTCTAACTCACTCCCTCGTATTCTCAAAGATATCTTCCCAGGTTCATACGAGCATCTTTTGAGCATGCTGTTTGAAAGCGATGACAAAATGCACGCCACCCAGATGAAGCTAGAGGAATGGCTTCTGAAAAGATACCCTCAGATTCTCAACAAGATCGATACCGAACGCCAAGAGACGAACATAACCGATGAGACGTATTTTGGGGCTGAGATAGAGGTCTTAAGAAAGATGGTAGCATTCTTGCGCAAGGAATCTGATAAACCAGTCTTCTGGCTCAATGCTCGGCGTGCAAGTCCTATCAAAGCTCGTGAGCAGCTTGAAGCATCTATCCGGGTCATCGAACTGTTCAAAAGCGATGTCATGATTGCGATGAAAATGGACACGGAGGATAGTGAGTGGCAATCCCAACTTGAAACTGCAAGAAGTCCATCAGCCTAACGCAGCATAGGAAAAATTTACAATTCTCTCCCCGTCTCCACGGAACGCACCGCTCTTCTGAGTATCAAACAACTTCGGATTGACGCATGCAAGGCATCACTTTCTTGGGAAGGTTATATGGACTCTGCTATCGTGTTCACCTCTTTCTTCCATGCCTACAAGGCTTATACCTGCGTGCACAAGCCAGACAAAGCCCGTGCATGGGGCTGGCTCCCACCACAGGGACTTGCACCTCCACGCTTGTCTGCAGAGATAGCCCAGGTGGGCGATTTGGTAAAATGGGACTTTGAGCATGAAAACGGCGCATTCGATCTGCTACTCAAGACGGCCCTTTGGCTAGGTATGGCGAGAGGTCTCCCAGCTGTGCATCTATTCTGTGACGTCGCTCGACTTTTCACGACGCACAAGCCCTCCCCAACGGCAAACGAGCCATATATCCGATTTCTGCGCCATCTGGCCCAAACAAGAGTCTCCATTGCCGGAATTAAGTCCACTCCGCCCACGCCTGTTCCATTCAAGGGGTCCGACGAAAATACCAACCGTGGTTACTTCGAAGACGTATTCGATTCAGACAAGATCTTGGAGAAGGACCTAACCAAGACCCTTTCGTTGCTCGCCATGAATACCAATGACTTCAAGCTATCTGCCACGCCTCCAAAATACTCGTTTCGCAAGAAGGCGAAGATGATCGAGCAGGCTTGTGTTGTGGAAGAGAATCACACGGAGAAGTGGTCTCAGAAAGATCCGGCAAGTCAAGGAAATTCCTTTGATAGGTCATTTTGTATCCCTTTGCTAACATCGTGTCCTCCTAGCACCCTGTGAAACCTCCTTCTCCAATTCCTGAGGAACCTGAACCGGCCTCACCCCCGCAGGAGACGGAACCTGACTTTCTTGATCAAATCGAATACGTCTCAGTCTGTCCTTGGTGATTGAATATCTTGAGCTTTCAGGATTTACGAGGCATATCAGAACAGCTTCACCCATATGTCAGCTGCGATTTGAACAACATACTTTACGAACGTCTCTGATTGATCTCAAGATGAAAATCAAAACGAAAGAAAATCTCTCCACTCTGTCGAAAGCAAGAAGGTATGCCAACCCAAGCTCACCCCATTGATTGGCGATTGTGAGCCGTACTTCAGGGAAATTACAAAGCCCCTCACTCAGTTGTTACAATTTCCCTTCTATTACCTTCAGTTGCCATCCCAGTCTCCAGGGTGCACCAGTTTCGACACTATGACACTCACCGTACGCCCATGTCATTGCCAAACCGCTCTAACTCTGGTAGTCAAGAGCAGTAGGCGAAGACTGTGGGCCGGAGAAGCTGACATTACCGTCGAAACAGGATCCAATCCAGGATCGATCTAGGAAGATGCAAACTCGCTATTACTTCTTCAACCTCACTCTTATGTATTAGGCAAAATGACAGAAACAAAAAAGAAAAGTCATCTCATCTCACCTCACCGCACAGTGGTCCGACCCTAACCAGGGGAAAAGACCATGAAGTTCATTTGTTGACGTTTTCCCCAATTCACACACTATTCACACCACTCACCTTCTGTATGTGCAAACGTAAGCTGACTTTACTATCTACAGGGCAACCCTCTTTTTTTCTCCTCCTTGTGAGATCGCCGCGGCAGCCGTGCAACGTTTGTGAAAAGCATTCGATGACATCGTCCAGGACCCGCCTCTCTATTGTTCTTGTTCGTGATTGTATTACTCTGATTTATTCTATTCATTGCCTTGCTGGTTCAAGGTGCTTGCACGCATTCACTGTTATGTATACTACTGACTACTTTTTTCTTCCTTGGCTTCCTACTTGAAAATATTATCTCTTGTCACGATAATGCCGCTTCGCTGGCTGGCTGGTTGATTATACATGATATTGACGACACTGATGATATTGCATGGAATGTGTTCCCCTGTCTTGCATTTTCCTTGTCTATTATGCATGTGGCAACTGGTGCTGCGCACCTTGGGGGCCTGATGGTGTGGGAAACATGTTGCATTTCGCATTTAACTCATCTAGAGACACTACCTAGCTAGAGGCTCGATTGATCGATCGAGACAAAATCATGAAAAGAGAGAAGGGTAGGAGTCAAAGAGAGAGGGAAAGAGAGATAAAAACAAAAATAGACGCTAGAGACGATTCATTATGTTTACTTTTGAGTATCTTTTGATCATGAATCAACATTATGTAACCCGAAATCGTGTCAAACAAATGTAAGTAGACCAGATAAGGTAGTAAGAAAAGAGTTTCCCCTATGAATCCGCCATATTATACGCCAACAAAGGATCAATCATCGCCATATCATCAGCACTGGGTATCTTAGAAGAAGAAGAAGAAGCAGCAGCAGCAGAAGGAAGAACATCGACATCGACATCTTGAATCATAGCATCAGCAAAGTTGCTGGGGAAGTCGCCGGGGTTATTTTCATTAGTTGTAGGGTCACCACCATTGCCCATCGTATATAGACCAGGTTTTGCATCCGCATGCAAGATATACGGTTCATATGGGGCGGAAGAGTCATCGTTATCGAACTCGAGTCCATAAATACCAAACATGTCGCCGGTCACGGGCTCATTGCTATCCGCCAGTAGAGCGCGCTGCATGAACATATCGCGGATTTCGTCCTCGGTGCATCCGTGTTTACTGCCCATATGGACCCACAAATCGTAGTTCCGGTGGAACCGGTGTGGACAGCCTTCGATGAAGCAGGTGATCTGTCGGCCGGTTTCTTCGGCATAACCCTCCCCTGTGAGAGCGGCCAATGCGGATGGACCGGTTTGGTGAGGGTCTGGTGTCTTGTTCAGACCTAGACGCTGTCGGCGCTCGGCTTTGGCGTTGGGGAAGCCGAGATGTGCGGTGCGAATGTGCTCCTCCAGGGCGAGTTTACTTCCGTAGCGCTTTCCGCAGCCGTCGGCGCCTGTCCAGCCGACGACTCGTTTGGACATGGACAGGTCGGTCTCGCCGCAGACGAAGCGCTTTTCGCCTTGGTGAACGGTGCGGATATGCACGGTTAGGTTGCCCTTCTTGGTGAAGCTGCTGTCGCAACCGGGTATGGTGCAGGGGAAGACTTTTCGCTCTTCTAGACTCACGTTGCCGTGGCTGACTTCCAGGTGACGGCGGAGCTCTCGGGCTGTGGAACAGTTCAGGTTGCAATTGGGACATTGTGGGGGGTGGACAGTTCGGATGTGGGCTTGGAGGAGGGCGTAGGTCGGGAATGTTGATGTGGTGGGAGCGGGAGTCTCGGATGATGATGGGTTGGCCTGCTCGGCCTGCTGGGTACACTCCGTGCAGGTGAATCGTTTCTCGGTGTGTATGCGACTTTCATGAGCTCGAAGGTGTCCTGCGGTGTCAAATGCCATTGGGCATTTCTGGCCGGTAGTCGGGTCGATGTGCGGGCAAGAGAAGGGTTTCTGTTTCAAATGCACGCTCATGATGTGTTTTTGGAGCGTCGAGTGTTTCCGGAAGGTCTCATCGCAGGGCGGAAACTCTGTGCAGCGGTACTTGTCTCTGCCATCATGAGCAGCTATGTGTCGACGAAGCCGTGAGCCAGTTACGAAGCTCTTCCCACATCCGGGACGATCGCATACGTAGTCTCTGATTCCGGTATGGGCGCTTTTGATATGATGGCTCAGATGCGATGCTCGAAGAAACGTCTTATCGCAATCGTCGTGGGTACAGCGGAATAGTCGTTCATTGTTGTGTGAGCGCAAATGTTCCTGTAGTCGTGCTGGACGGTTGAAGGCCTTCGTGCAACCTTCGAAAGGGCAGCGGTGAGTTTTCAGCTCTGAAGGATATCTAGCGGAGATAGTCGACATCGGAGTAGCTGGTGTCTCGTGAAGACTACCGCTGGCGACACTGGAGTCATCCGAAAAGTCATACTCGGGGTCTGAGTGTTTTTCTTCATATATTGGGTCTGAAGAGACATTTAGTATCAGACGGAATCTAGACTCGGCCTCTAGGCATATCTTACCGACATCGTCCAGCGTTGTCCGGCTTTGTAGCCGCTTCGCGTTGGGGAGATCCCCCGAGGCTTTTCGCTTCTGAGCCATAGCTCCGCGGCCCTCTAGACCATCCAAGCCTGATTAATGAGCACTGGACTGGCGACAGGAAGGAAAGAGAATTCAAGATGAAAGTGATGGCTGCTCGACGACATCCAGAAATTTTGCCGAGGCGGTGAACAGCGGCACCCAAAGGAGTCTAGCGCCGGACGAGCAACAGGAACTTTTTCCGGGTTCTGAGAGTCGCGACTTCGATTTCTTCACGAGGAAGAAAAGCCCGTCGCAACAGTTCATCGTCTCGTCCCCAACCCGGCCCGGTCGCGGTGCTGTCATTGTTTTCGTTGCTGCCATATTCGATTGGTGTTTCGTCCCAATTTAGCCCTACTTAATCCGCCACCATGTCTGACTACGGAGATCACGACGCTGAGGAAACGTAAGAGACCGGCGCCCCATGAGAGCTTGCGCAGGCCAATGCTGCGCGTCTGCGTTGCCTGTCGATAGTCGTCATGTCTGCTAGGTGAAAGTTTCGATGTTCTGACTAGGATTGTCTTATAGTTACGACTACGAGCCGGAGCAGGAGTACGATGACAACGAGCCCGAAGATTTCCTAAACCCCGAGGATGTCGATGTCGCAGAAGGAGGCGCCGATGAATATGGCGAAGGCTCATACGCGCCTGCTGTCAACGGAAACCACATTGTCGCTTCAGGCGACCCGAATGCGGGGTATGCGGGCAAGGTCATGGAGCAGACGCGGGAGAAGAAGGTCCCGAACGACCAGCGCCAGACAACTCCATACATGACCAAGTACGAGCGCGCGCGTGTCCTGGGTACTCGAGCCTTGCAGATCAGGTTCGTTTTGGCAATCGATGCGGCGTCAAGGATGGGTTGAGAAGCGCAATCGGATGCTGACCATGTCTCTAGTATGAACGCCCCGGTGCTCGTCGATCTCGAGGGCGAGACGGATCCTCTACAGATCGCCATCAAGGAGTTGAACCAGAAGAAGATCCCACTTATTGTGCGGAGATATCTTCCCGACGGATGGTAAGCGGGCCTTCTCCATGTGGGTTTGACAATTTGACGTATTCGATCTAATCATTATTTTTGTGATACAGGTACGAGGACTGGACTTGCGAAGAATTACTCTAGACGCGGAGACGACAGGTGGTTGTATTTTTTTCCAAATGGCTTCTTGGTACTTTATTGTGTATGTGTTTGGTCTAAGGATCTTTCCCTCTGGGCAGCATAGCGTTTGGAGTTTCGGAGTAGGGTAGCGGGCCATACTGGCCTAGGCAGCCACTGGGACACTGGGAAGACAAAGAAAACTCAAAAGAATAACGCACTGCAGTCTATATATTAGTAAAATTCAAAAAAGTTTGATGTTGACTGCTTTCGTTTGGCATAATCTAGGCCTTTCTGTTCGCAATCTACTGCTCTCCAGAGGCAATGTCATCTTCACAATTGAGCCAGGCAGAGCGCTTCACAGAAGTAAACTCAGATGTAAACCCAACATTGACGGCCCGAGGTCTGCTTTTGGTCCTGATACGGATGACGACCCCAATTTGGAGATGTATGAAGTAGCAGACAAGGTACTTTGTGACTGGCACTGTTGCAGATGGATACTCTGGGCCTCTGATGCAACTGCAAGTATGGCGTCAACTCCTCACATGGCATTGTTCCCACATTCCCGGTAGATAAGCGCGAGCATTCCTTTTCTGAGATATGACATGCTTCAGATGCTCACGTCAAGCTGCGACGAGTCTAGGAAATGATGGCCTTTCCTCTATCTTTTCCATTCTTAGCGACCACGTCATAAACTCGTTTGACCCATCAAATGCTTCGACATGCTTGCTCTTGAGAGCCTCCACAGAACACGTAGGAGTCATAACAGAGATGTTGCGTTCAATGTATTGCTCATGAATACTAGCTAAGAGTCATCAATGAGTGGATCTAGGCGACACAAATGCCTCATTCGGAGTATAATCTGGACGAGTAAGATAAGTTGATTCATTGACTTTGCCGTACGGACTTCGGTCCGCGCTTCTCTGACCGCCAGTGAATAGACTGAAACAGCCGAGTCGGAGAGCACAATTTGAACGTCGTGGCTTGTCTCGCATTGCCGAACTGCACGGAAAACACTAATGCAAGATGACATACCGTGATTGGCGGCATGTGGTCAACCCATTATTGAGGAACATAACTTCTCTCTTCTGCTCAGTCTCAAGGCATGGATAGCCTGGTTTGAAAACTCCTCATACTTTGTCGAGTCGGTCAGCCACCTTTTCTTGTACAATCACAGGCTGTAGTCTATGTATCAAGCAAATCAGCAAGTGTTCACCGATCCGTGGTTTGGTCACCTTTTTTTTTTCTGCCAGCCGATCTTCATCGGCGATGAGACCGTCTTGTTTCGGGAAACAAACTCGGAACGAAGACCGATATCTCCGAAGAATTTCAATCCCGCATTTTCTGGCTTACGAATAAGCGCTCGAGGGTCTCGAATGTAGCATCCTTCTTATTGCTGCTGATACTTTTCGGCGAGTTAGTTCAGCGTGCAGTAGGCCCTGCTATCGCTATGTTCTCTGTCGCCAGTTACACTGTTCGTTCTAGGAGGATCGGGCTCAAGATGGACGGACCGTTCCTTGACCTGTCAAGCCTGGACAATGTGATTCATTCTTGTGTCTCCAGAGTTCGAGCCAGCGTCGCATTCGCCAAGAATAAGTAGGTCAACAGACCAGGTACAATATGGACTAAAAAGAAGTGATATGCAGTTCGGCCCCCGCCTGGATAAATCGGCACGCTGTCATCCTCCCAAACACACTAAAAGTCCACTATCTGCAGTCATCCTCCAATCGTGCTTATGCAGAGCATACCTTCAATAACCGCAGTTGTGAAGCGCAGGGCGTACCCTTTCCTTCCCCAATTACCCATGCTCGTGTTACAACTTCTCCAACTTCTCCCCGACAACACATCATAGACATGTTCCTGGGGAAAGAATGGGCTCGGTGGCTCCGTCCCTCGGCAAGTGACTCCATCGCTTACCCGGAACCCGCTCATTGCTGGTCCAGTAGGCTCTCTTCCCACGATGGGGCATCAGCCAGAGCCTGGTTCCCTTGACTGTCTCCATTCCCACTCCCAGGGGATCAGTCAACATGAATGGCCACCGACGAGTGGATCCTCTTACTCAGTCTTGGTTGAGTCTGCTTTTCTAGCTCCCAAGCTTAGTCTTAGCCGGGGCTTGGAGGCACTACCTTAATAAATTTTTACTGTGTGCCGCTATGATTCATTTCTAATCACAGTATATAGTGTGAGCCTGACCTCCACCTGGGGTCGCCCTCCTCTCTGCATTTAGTCCCCCGGTCCTGAGAAACATATCTTAAGTGGTGATTTAAGCTCTCAGTGAGTGCTGTTTGGGCTGTGTTCACGTCGACTGCTACTAGGGTTATCTGATCCGCTGTCTGTTTCGCCCTCCAACCCTTACCTTTATCGTCCACTCCACCAGACGGTCCGTCTGATCGCTTATTATTGGAGTGGAAAATGGGGACCAATGCTGATTACGACGAGAAGGCTGTTGCGGGATCCCTCACTGCAAACAACAATGGCGACTGCCATGAACTTCCTACTCCGTCAGAGGAGAAACCCTCAGAGGAACCGATCTTCGATACCGGCTTTAAGTCATGGATCCAAGTGCTAGGCTCTTTCTTCCTCTTCTTCAACTCATGGTATGTGAGGCCCTCTACTCTGGTACCATGTAGGTCATCAACTAACGAAAGATGACGGCCAGGGGTGTCATTAACACCTGGGGTGCTTTCCAAACGTATTATGAGCAGGACTTGTTGTCCGACATGTCATCGTCCAACATCGCCTGGATTGGCTCACTCCAAGCTTTCCTGCTCATGCTCTTTGGTGTGGTAACAGGACCTCTTTTCGATGCAGGCTACTTCCGTGCCCTGCTCACATTTGGAAGCATCATGCTCCCCTTTGGGTTGATGATGACCAGTCTTGCTACCAAGTTCTGGCAGCTGATCCTGGCCCAAGGTATCGTTATTGGTCTGTCTGCCGGATGTCTGTTCGTCCCATCCGTCGCCATTCTGCCTCAGTACTTTAAGAAGAGACGCGGTCTGGCCAACGGTCTTGCCGCTTCGGGCAGCAGTATCGGAGGTGTGATCTACCCGATCATGTTTGACCAGCTGCAGCACAAGGTCGGCTTTCCCTGGGCGACGAGAGCTATCGGCTTCCTCTGTTTCGGAACCTGCTGCATCTCATACAGCATCATGCGTATGCGCTTCCAGCCGACAGAGAAGCGCAAGCTGGTCCAGTTGGCTGCTTTCAAGGAGCCACATTTCGTGATGTTTTGCATTGGCATGTTCCTGGGTTTCCTTGGATTCTACAACTTCCTCTTCTATATCCAATCCTATGCTATCGACACCGGAATTGTTGGGTCCACCCTCGGATTCTATCTGCTCTCCATGCTGAATGCGGGGTCCACCATTGGACGTATCTGTCCGAACTTCATCGCAGACCACACGGGTCCCCTGAACGTCCTCACTCCTGCAGCTACCGCTACCGCTATTCTTGCCTTCGCTTGGATCGGAGTCCACAATGCGCCAGGCATCATCGTTCTCTCCGTACTGTATGGTCTCTGCTCCGGCGGTTTCGTGTCACTTCCGCCGGTCGTGATGGTGACTCTGACCAAGGACATCCGGGACCTGGGAACTCGTCTAGGCATGGTGTTCGCAATCACCTCTGTCGGACTGCTGATCGGTACACCTATCGGCGGAGCCATCTTGAGCAACTCGGGCAGCTACCTGGGAGTGCAGCTCTTCACAGCCTGCTGTCTCATCACATCTGCCTCCGTCTTTGCCGCGCTGAGATTCTCTCGCTCGAGTATGAGACTTATCGCGCGTGTGTGAGCGCGGCCTGACAACAAACACACCAACTCCTATTCCCACTTCAATCAACTACGCTGCGACTGCATCAACTCACCTCGATGAGAACTGATACCTTAATACTTGATGACCCAAAAAAGTTGCATATTCCATCCAAGCATTTGCATTTGCATCATGCATCATTGGAGAACCGGTGTTTTTTTGGGATGATAAAAGTTTGATCTTTTGATTACGATAGATAAGATTCAAGACTAGATTAGAACATATTGCTTAATGTATTACGATTCAAATTGATTGATTTAATATAATGCACAGCATAGATACCATTTCAAGCCTGTATTGTTTCAATGAGTTCTAGTCTCATTAGACTTCTATTCAAGCCGTCCTTAGTCCACTCAGCATGCATGGCATGACACGTCCGTTCATCAACCCAGAACAGTAACAATAATAGTAACGGAAACGCCCAAACACCAAATGCTAGAAACAAAACAACTGACCAGCCACTTTTCTCTTATGCTATGCACCACCCTCCTTTGCTGCTGTCCTCACACCATCATATGTATATATACCTAGACCCGTCCGATCCATCCCTCATCATCACCGCCCGAACGAAGCGTCCTACGAAACATGAATCGGATCCACCAAGAACTCCTCCCCATTCTCCCGAATATGCTGAAGTTTCTTATCGCGACTGCACGGTTTGCGCATATCAAAGGCATCTTCACCTGAATCCGAGAAGCCTGTTGGATCGTCGCTGTAGTAGTTTACTACTCGGCGGAAGACGGAGTATCTGCGTGAAACACCCCTATTAGCATCATCATATTACTTTTTGCGGGGAACCGAGTGAAACCACAAAGGCTCGGACAGGAAAAGCGAGAAAATGAATGTAGAAAAAAGAGGGTATAAACTCACCCCATGCCCTTATACATCCCCACGGCAACTTTATTCCCCGCTCGCACATAGAGATCGACAAACCAGGCATCGTTGATATCGGAGCCCTGTTCCAGACGTTCGGTGAGACGACGCGCGTGGCCGAGACGGCGCCATGCGGGCGCAACGGTTAAAACGGTAATGTGGCCGTGCCAGGGCGTGTAGTGTTCGGAATGGCGCATCGAGGCGGGTTGTTCTTCGAGCTTGCCCATGACTGATGACGCGCATTAGTGGTGATTACTACTACTCGAAGGGTGGTGGGAAAGAAACTCACTGTAACCCACGATGCCTTCCTGGCGATCCTGAACGCTGCTAAAGAGGGAGGGCCATCGCATGAGGTAATTGAGGTAGAATCCGAGGTCGTAGTTTTCAGTCAATGGGTCGAGGTTGGTGAGGTTGAGGGACAGGAGGTCCGTTGGGGACATGCGCCGGATGGAGCTCATTGTTGGTGTGTGTTTATCCTTTGGGGGAGGGAAGGTTGAGCGGTGGTTCTCAAGAAGATAGTTTAATAGATGGAGGGGAAAGATGAAGCAATTTGGGGAGTTGATCGGCGAGTCAATCGGGGCTTGGGCGGTCACGGGGAGGAGATCTTTTTGAGGGTCGGGCTTCTTTCTCCCTCTCCTTCTGTGCCCCCCTCATTAGTTATATTATTATTATTGTTCCTCTCTCCTTCTCTCTCTCTCTTTCTCTCTCCGGCTCATTCTCTATTTCATTTTCGAATCTTTCTTTCTCGTGATAGCCGGTCTCGACTTCTTCGTTCCTTTACTCTTTTCCCTCTTTCCCTCCCGTCCTTTTCAACTGGCTGCGTGGAAAAGCATCCTGGTGATGCGGTCGGCGATCCACCATTGACTTCCGTTCCCCTGTTCGTTATTTACTTCGCGGCAGCCACTTACGATTTGCAAAGAATCTACAACAAACAACCCCTGTTTCCCTTGTTTAGACCGTCAGGTTTTCCACGCCACACTATCTCCTTGACCCTTCAAAGCCATACCGCATCCTCGTCTTTCTCTCTCTTCCCCTCCTTTAATCCTGCAACATGCCGTCCATCCCACCTCCCCTGACTATATCTCACCGCCATACTCGGAGTCGCTCCTCCAACATCGACATCGACCCCATTTCTCCTGGTACCTACGCTCCCAACGGCTTTTCCTACCGGTCGCCTCGGTCGCCTCATACGCCTCGTTCATCCATCCCCTCTTCTCCGGTGGACGTCCGCCCTCACCACACTCAATCATTCAATGGCTCCCATAGAATGTCGGGCGACTTCGGCGGTGCTGCCAACGAAGGCGGCGGACTAGGAAACTTGGCCGATGAGCTCGCGGATGCATGGGAGGAGGAAGAAGGTGGTTACGGATACACGTCGGGCCAGGATGCCGGGGCCCCTGACGCACAGTATGTGGATCGCAGTGACGATGAAGATGCATACCACCGCATGGGCACCGGGGCCCGCACACCCTCATCGGGCTACTCGTCGGAACGGAATTCTTCTCTGCAGCCTCCGAAGCCCAAGACCCGTAATGGTGCCCATCGACACCGGCGGCACGAGTCGCAATATGATGGGTCCGATTATGGAAACGATTCGGATTTCGAGGAAGCGGATATGCCGCCTAGCCTGGAGATGCAGATGGCGGAGATTGAGAGTCTGGCTCGTCGCGGACTAGAGAACAATGGCAGTGAGAATGACTTTGTGATTCAACGCGCGGTGGAAGCTCTCCGGGATCTTGGCGGGCAGAGTGGGATTGAAAACAACGCCATGAGGTAGGTGGATCTGTTGTTGTCTGTGACTTGGCAGGGTGTCTTGGTCTGCTCGGAATAATGACTGGCTAACACAACTTTCGAAATCTAGACTCATCACTGCACACTCGTCCATCACCTCACATCTTACCCATCAGACGCGGGCACTTCAGACCCTCACCCACCCTCTCCTTTTCTCGCCATTCCCGCTCCTTTCCTCAGATGCTATAGATGCGCTCATTCCTCTCATCGACGAAGAACTCCTGCCTAACCTCCCCTATCCTTTCCCGGAACAGCCACGTCACTCTTCAAGACCCACTACCCCCTCCCAGTCACCGGCCCTGAACCCTCTCGTCTCCCTGCAGACCCTTGTGTCGCAGACATCCGACATCACCCTGTCGCTCCGGGGCCTGAGCGATACGCTGTATGAGTCGCGCCAGCTTACGTCCACGGCATCGCGACGACTCCGGTCTGCTCGCGAACTTGTAGCCGACCTCCGCCGTGAGGAAGAAGGCGTCGAGGAGGGGACCCGGTGGATCGAACGAGGCGACTGGGACCGCCGACTCCGGGATCGCGAAGCCGGCCGAGTCTGCGGAGACGTAGTCAGTGGCTTCGAGGCGGTGTGCGGTGAATGGCGAGAGAAGCTCTTCGGGGCAGCCGCTGGAGCGGAAGTGGCTGCTGCTTGAGATGATGACTACTTCCTTCAGGTAAAAGGGGAGGGATAATGGATATAGACAAGGACGGATGCTACCAGTTTCTTCTTCTTCTCACGGGATAAATTTCTTTTTTTGTCTTCCTCTTTTTTTGCCCTTGACATCCCAGACATATTGTCTCGAGTACTACTGCCAGAGATAGCGGCCATACCCCCTTTTGCAAATTTCCTTTCTAGTATATAGATTATTCATCTGGGTTCGTCCATCCATCAATCTGTTTATTTTCACCCACCCACATATTCCACAATTGCTATGCATTCATTCATTCCACCAAATTTAAGCAAAGTATGACCTCGTTCAGTTTGTCCTGTCAGAATCTCTCACCGATATCCAAATATCCATGACCCACACATCCACAACCTCCAACTTTCCAATTCGACATCATAGAAGCACATACATACATTCAATGCATAGACCACTCACTGTCTTTTGCATCCTTTTCAATACTACAAACGATCAAGGCTAGATAGACCTCAAAATAACTGATCCATTCAATACTCTACACTTTCCCCTATATTCATAAAGTATTTGACAGTAGGCACTGGTAGTACTCAATCGTAACGGAATTCAAACCCTAGCCTAACGAGTGAGTCCCTGAGAAAATCTGTCACAGGTACAGTTTCACCAAATGTTTGGTCTGTTTCAGGTTATCGTATTGGAGACGACGAGACAGATACAGAGTTATTACTTACTAGATAGTAAGTAGCACATTCCTTGCCCTTCCCTGTGTACCTACTTATCTACCTTTCATGGTTGGAAGAAGAAAAAAGAAAAAAGAGAGGTTGTCTGGAACATGGTATGCAAATTACACACACAGTCATATTGAGGGAGGAACTTAGTTAAGAGGGGAACATAGTTTACATACAGAATAGAAGGGCTTGTACTCCGTAGTAAGTAGTGTTTCCTTCCCCCTTTATGACTTCGGGCTGTTTTTCTGGTATGGATACTGACTAGTAAATCTCATGGAAAATACACACTATGCAAACTTTTTGTCTTGGAATTGAAACAAGTGGATGTGATATACCGGTGGTTTCAAGCCGATCATACTCTATCTATCTACTTGAGTGTTAAGTGATTGATGTCTACGACTCAGGTAATAAATGTAAAGGAACGAAAGAAAATACTATGCATTTGGTAAAAAAGACCATGAGATCGGGTAATGTAGGAAAAAATCAATCAATCAATTGACATGGCATGCCCAGAAAAAGAAAAATTAAATCAAGCAGTTGGCGGTTGGGGGGGAGGCAAAGAGCTTTAACTACAACCTCATGGTGTGAATAACCCCCGATATCTATCTCTCTCTCTCACACCTCGCAAAGGTTCATACCTCATCAACTAAAAGAACTAAAAGACGTAGTAGGAACAGTATGGAGGTAGAAAAAAAAAGAAGAATCGTACCGGGTTTGAGGCTAAGGAAGGAGACAAAAAAGGTACTATGCGAACATGAAGATGGGGAGGCGGGGCGGAAAAGTGTTTGAAGGTGGATGAGAGTTGTGTCTTTATACAACACAAGGATGAAAGAGAGAGAGAAAAAAGAGAAAAGAGGAAGGTTGACTCATATCACACGCCCTTTCATCAAACATCCAAAGAACTTTTTCATGTCATCATGCGATTTACTGGCCACCCTGTTGCTGCTTCCATCTGGGCACCCACTTGCCAGCGGCAGGCTTGGACTCCTCGGTCTTGTCGGAGCTGGAGCCGGGGGTCTGCGTGCGGGAGGGGGGCTGGGAAGAGCCGGCCTCACGCATGGCACGGGGAACGTAGCGCTCCGTGGAAGGAGCAGGAGCAGCACGCTCGGGAGCAGCAGGGGTAGCACTGGCACCCGAGCGCAGGTGAGGAGGCACGTAGCCTCTGCGCACGGGAGCGGGCTCCTCACGGGCAGGCTCGGGAGCAGCACGCTCAGGAGCAGCAGCAGGAGCGCCACCAGTAGCCTCCTTGGCAGCCTGGCGCTCTCTCCAGCTGGGACCACCACCAGTGCGAGGAGCCAGGTTGAGACGAGGAGCAATGCGTTCCGTAGGAGCAGCACGCTCAGGAGCCGGCGCAGCTTCGCGCTCAACACCACCGGTCCGGCGAGCGGCACGGCGAGCTTCGGCTTCCTCTTCACGCTGTTTCTGCTTGATAGCAAGTTCATCGAGTCTCCTGTAAGGCGGGTTAGCAATTAGTGGTCTCTGACGAATTGGGCGACGGGGGTTTTCAATGGGGGATACTGACTTTCTCTCTTCCTCACGCTTGGCCTTCTCCTCAGCCAGGACACGGCGGCGCTCCTCCTCCTTGGCGGTTCTCTCCTCCTCCTCGCGACGAATGCGCTCCTCCTCTTCCTTGCGGCGGCGCTCTTCCTCCTCACGCTCGGCCCGCTCACGGCGTCTGCGCTCCTGGACCTCCTTGATACGCTGCTTCTTCTTGGCCTCGAAGTCGCGCTCAGCGGCCTTGCGGCGCTTCTCGAACTCCTCGTGGCGCTTCTCGGACACCTCCTTGCGGAAGCTGTTGAACTGGGGCACCAGGCGGCTGAGACGGTGCTTGAGGGCAACGGCCTCCTTGTGCTTGTCCTCGGCCTCCTTGAGAGCCTCGGCCTTGGTGGCCTCGTAGATCTCCATGTCGCGCTGCTTCTGCTTCTCATAGTCCTCGGGGATGTGCTTCAGTTCCTCACGACGGAAGGCACGCTCCAGGTGGTCAATGCGCTTGGCGGTGGTGCGGATGCGGTCGTTAAGCTCGTTCTTCTCCTTCTCCAGCTGAGCCAGCTTCATGGCACGGAGGCGGTTGGCATCGAGCTCGTTCAGGTCAAGCTCGCTGATGTCAATGCCCTTGACGCCAGTCTTGAGCTCCTCCAGCTGCTTCTTCAGCTCCTGCTGGCGGATGCGGTCCTGCTCATCCTTGATGCGCTTCTTCTCACGCTCGCGGTGCTCATCCGCCAGACGCTGCTTCTCGGCTTCCTGAAGCTGCTGGGTGCGGATGCGCTTGCGAGTCTCCTCCTCGCGCTGCTTGCGCTGCAGAGCATC